ATGGCCGGCGCCTTGATGTAGTCGTACAGGTGCGGCAGCAGCCGCACCGCCGTCACGCCGACGTAGTAGCTCTTCTTCAGCGGCCTGCAGTTGATCCGCCACACCACGTTGCCGATCACCTGCGGGAGGAGGAAGAAGTCCTGCGCCATGCCGATGTACTCCTCCAGCGTCACCGCCCACTCCCGCAGCGCGTGCGTCTTCCCGCGCGCGTCCATGTACGACCCATCGTCCCGCACCGGCCGGCTGTACACGTTCACGTAGTGCGCCGCCAGGACCACCGCGAAGCCCACCAGGTGCGCTCCGAGGCTGTAGACTAGCACCTTCCGGTCGCTCGGCACGCGGCCGGGCTCCAGCGGCGACCGCGTCAGCAGCCGGATGCGCGACCGCCACACCTTCTGCGCCAGCCGGAGCGTCAGGAGGAACGCGGCGAGGATGAGGATCTTGACGATGCAGTCGATGGTCCAGTACAGGCTGCTCTTGTCCACCTCGTACGACGGCGGCACGGCGCCGTCGTCAGAGCCCGCGGCGATGCGGGCGAACAGAGCCTCGGCGCCGGTGATCAGCGGCACGCTGTACCCGATCGCCTGCACGCCCAGCATCACCAGCGACACGTACGGCATCACGTCCGTGTTCGCCTTGATGTACATCAGCTGGCTCAGCTCCACGGCGATGGCCGCCGCCAGCGTCGAGATGCGGAGGATCCCCTCGACGCTGCGCCGGGACAGGATGTCCTGCCGCTGCTCCCGGTACATGATCGGCAGCGTCTGGAGCTTCGTCGCGTTGAAGTGCAGCGGGTCACCGGGGTCGCGCGTGCTGGCGATTTGCACCTTCACCGTGGGGTTGATCAGCCACCGCGCCGTCGTCGGCGGGTAATCCACCCTCATCTCGATCGAGCAGTCCATGCCATCCTCGACATCTTTCAGCGTCGAGAAGGCTTGCCGAGTCGCTTGAATGCTTCGACAGCCGATCAGGTACATCCGCCCATTCACCGGATTGTACACGCCTTCCAAGAACATGGTCGACACGTTCTCGTAAGGATTCCCGGATAGCGAGAGCTCCGCGGACACGTTGAGGAGAGATGACTCTGCTGGCTGCGACGACGTCGTAGTCGATGAGGACTCTTGCTGCGACGACGTCCAAGAGGACGCTTTGCCCCCACCGAGCTCGCCGGGCATTCCAGGAAACTCCGTAGCCGACGCCGCCAGCGTGGTCCGGCCGACGAGAGATCCGAGCGAGAGCACCTCCAGCTGAAAGAACGGCCGCTCGAACCGTTCACGAGGGAACGGGTCGGGCACGGCCGGGACGTGGAGGGTGAGGTCGCCCGCGAGGTTGGACAGGCTCATCGCATCGTCGGTGAGGCTGTCGTCTTTCTTGGGGTAGCTCAGGAGCGACTTGGCGAGGGCGGCCCCAAATTCGAACGGCTCACTGCGCCTGAGGAACTCGCTGGCCTGCCTCACCTTCGTGTAGTTGTACGCCATGCTCAGCGGCGCGCCGCCCGAGACGCCGAACCGGTTCCAGAGCTCCGTCGGGTGCACCGTGCGTTTGATCGTGAGCGGGAAGTGCGCGACGCCGCCGCTGCCGTCGACGCGGGTGATCTGCCCCACCGTCAGGCTGCGGCGGGTGGCCGTGAAGGTGGTCTGCACGTACAGGCACACGCGGGAGTGGCACGCCTTGGCCCCGACGCCGAGGCAGCCCACCATGCAAAGCTGCCCCGTGGACGCGTGCCACACTCCCTCGGCCGAGAGGGTCATGCCGCTGAGCCCGCTCCGCTTGCCCGCCGAGTACTTGTGCTCCCACGGAGGCACGGCGCGGAACACGGCCGACACCCTCGCCGAGCTCTCGCCGCTCGGGGCGTTCCTCGGCTCGCACCGGACGTCCTGCATCACGATGCTCACGTACCTGAACGCACCGTCCGTCGCGTCGATCGCCTTGTCCGTCTCGAACGGACCGAGCCTTCGGCAGACCGCGTCCGTGGAGTTGCACCGCCAGTTCGGGACGACGGCGAGCACGTCCTCCGACGTGAACCGGTCGAGGATGCCGCAGAAGGAGTTGCCCTTGTACAGACCCCGGCCGCCGCCGAGGATGTCGTCGCGGTAAGGGTGCGTGCTGCACGCTTTGTCCACGAGCTTCTCGGAGCCGAACTTGTAGTTGGAGTAGGCGCCCAGCTGCGACAGCAGGTGCACGGCGTCGAAGTAGGCGACGTCCGACTTGGCGTTCGTGCTCGTCAGCTCGCCACGCACGGCGCGCGTCGTCAGCGTCAGCGTCGTCGGGTACCGGAGCACGAGCAGTATGTTTTCGTCCTTGGTGACCGGCGGCTGGAAGCTATCGCGGCCGGTGTTCTTGGCCCAGTCCCACGGGTTGCCGGCGTCGCTGCCGCGCCTCGGGAGCAGGGCGTCGCCGACCATGCAGAGCACGCTCTCGCCGTCGCCGTTCTCGGTGTACACGCCCTCGAGGAGGATCTTAAGCTCGGTGCTCCCGGGCCACACCTTGAGCTCGGGCGACACGTACGGCCCCATCACCGGGCCGGTGCCGTTGCGGGAGACGGCGACGCCGAGCACGCCGCTGACGTTGAGGGCCGTCTTCCCTCGGCGGCCCACGTCGACGTGCGTGAGCATGAACGAGGCCAGCTGCAGCGGGTCAGGCGCCACGTCGTCGCCCGACACGTCGGTGCCGTCGAACGGCATCAGCGGCACGCCGCCGTCGTCCTGCTTCCAGTCCCCCTTGACGAAGGTCAGCTCCGGCATGAGGGCGTTGGCGCGGCTGGCGTCGAACGTGAGCTCGGTGGCGGAGGAGAGCACCGACCGGCATTGCCGCTTGACGTCAGCGGAGCGGACGTACTCGTGGGGGATGAATGGAGGCTGGCCGCCTCCCATCGCCATCTTTGGCTTCATTTGTGGCATGTTCTGGTGGAAGGGATCAAACGCGGAGGCGATGGCAAGGAGCGGCAGCAAGAACGCGACTACGAGCCGCAGTTTTGCCGACATCATTGCTGCGAGAGAGCAAACTGATACGTATCTCGGATTTTGATGGAGGTACTCTTTAGCTATCTGCTACTCCGTACTTCAGAGATTTGGCAACCTGCATTCGGAAAACACAAGAGCAGCAGACTGCATTTATTTGCAAAGTTTTTACACGGAATTCTTGCTACTGCAGAGAGTACCAAAGCTGACAGTAAACGTGCACACTTCTTGGCTACTTCGACATCAACATATGCGAAAAAAATTAACGCTGCAGCAAAACAAGATCATCATGGAGTAAACTTTGTTGCTGACCTCAACATGGAAATATCTTCGTTCAGTCCCCTTCCCCGTCCAAGAAGAAGTGGCACCGATGAGACCAGGAGTGCACAAGATCCTCTGCCTGCTACAGTGCATTAGGTTTCTGAGCAAAATGTGTCAGATCTAGAACAATTCTGGACCAGATGGGATCACTCGGAGTCCAATCTTATAACCACCCCTTGGATGCCTGCGCCGCATTGTTTATCGACCTGCTAATCCCTTGGGCCTCTCAGAATCGGCGGTTCTTGGAGGCTGCGCATATAGAATTCAGTTGACTTCCGAGGGAAGTGACCCAGAAACAGAGGGCAAGCGTGTAGACTCCCAAGAACGCCCCGGTCCACAAGAGAGAGAAGAAGCCGTGTGGAGATCGGAGAAGAGTGGAGAGGGGCAGTTTGGGTATTGGCGCGCAACATCCTGGGCCAGCGACAGCGAGAGATCTCGAGAGTTGACGAGGCTGCGCAGGTGGCGCTCGCGGCCGCCGCGCCGGGCATCGCGGCCGTTGCGCGGCAGTCCATGGCATGTCACGCCGGCGAGGACGGCGAGGACGGCGGCATGTGTGCTCCACGTGAACGAGGAGAAATACAGGTTTTGCCTCTGAGGCTTCATGTCCGGATAACCCAAGATTTCGTAAACTGACATTGCTATTACTACAGCTGAACGGCCCATATTCTGCCAGTTTTGGTGGATTTGGTAGCCCATTATAACGAGTTAACGACAGGGATAGGCTGCATCTTCATATCGGCCCAAGTTTACAAGGTATAATAGACTTTTTCCTATCTTAGTGCTCTCTGCATTTGCAAGACGGAAATACGTGTCGTATACCCCGCAACGTTTCCATTTTCTAAAAGTATTTTTCTTCTTCTTCACTCCTCCAAGGTTAAATTAAAAATCAGGAAACATTACTCCTCAAGTTTTAATCAAGAATACCACCCCATCCTAAAAACGATTCAATTTTAGTTCTGATCCTAGTCAAATATCTAAATTTTAACCAAATTTATTTTGAAAAATATCAATATTTATAATACAAAAATAGGTATAGACGAAAATATATTCCATGATGAGTATAATAACACTTATTTGGTACCACAAATATCAACTTTTTCTTTTCTTTTGTAAAATTGACCAAATTTATTTAAATGGTTTGACTTGATACTGTTAAGAATTGAGTTTTCTTTCCAGGACTGACGGAGTAATAACCATCGGTGTCGTCACAAAAGCACATCATGCAATGAGGCGAGACAACTAAAATTGAACTCCCACGGCAATCTCTGCATTATTCAGATTTCAAATGTCCTCAAAGTGCTTACTACCATGATAGGATACAAAAGCATAACCACAAAAAAAACATTAAACTTGAGTCCACATTCCCCAACGCAATTATCTCTAGATCCAACCAAGTTTACAATACTGATCCACCGCAAACAAACACAGAGACCAATACGCCAAGCCCTAAAAGCAAAGGATAGGCCCTCGCTCCCATGTATCACATCACATCACGAATGAGACAATCTCGAACACTCTCCGTTCCGCACCGGCCACCACCACCTCCACTGCACCACATCTTGAGTGGAGCGAGCTCAGGCCGATCGGCTTCCGTTCTCCGCGCGGGCGCGAACAAAAATTCACTTTCCCGATGATGCTACAGCACATGCGCTGCTTAACAATCCCGGAGCTAATGGCGATAGAGTAGCAGCGCGCGCTAATTAATTTCTTGATTATTAATTAGTACTTGACGACGGCTCCGGCACCGGCGGCGGCCTCCTCGCCGTCGGCCTTGGCGGCGGCCGCCATGTCGTCATCGTCGTCGTCGTCATCCTCTTCCCGCTCCTCGCCCTCGCCTTCCTCCTCGATGCTCTCGGACCTCTCCCTGCCGCCTCCGCCGCCGCCGACACTGCCTCCTCCGGCGCTGCCCCGCCCCTCCGATCCCGGCGGCGAGCCCGCCATTGCCGCCACCGCCTTGTACGAGGCCTGCTGCGGCGGCGGCGCTGCCGCGGCCGCACGGTGCACCATGGCGGCGGCGGCGGCCGCCGGGTGGTGCTGCAGGTGGTGCACCGCGGCGGGGGACGAGTAGTACTCCTGCGCCGCCGCAACCGCCGCCGTGTAGTGCGGCTGCGTCGCCGGGTGCGCGCCGTAGATGGCCTGGCCCGCCGCCTGCGTCGCGTACTCTGGCGGGACCCATATGCCGCCGAGGACCACCAGCTGCGGCGCCGCGGTCGCCGGCGCGGGCGGCGCCGGCATCGGCCTTCGCGTGTGCAGCCTGTACTTCTGCACGGCCACAGACGAGGAAAGGAATTACGAATCATCATCATTTTAGTTTAGATGCATACTCTTGTCTGTACTCATCGAATCATAAATCCATAATGACCAATGATGAATTACTGGATATTCTACTATTACTGCATCGGTGCATCGAGATTTATAATTACCTGGAGATGGCTTTTCACCTCATCATTGGTCAATCCATCCACCTTCATCAGCTCGCGGATCTGCTTCGGGGTCGCCACTTTTGCAAACAAGAAACAAGTTTTATTCGTCTTTGAGCTCACGCACGCATGCGTTTGGCATTTTGTGCAGCAGTTAGGAGTACAAGTGCTTGTACCTTGAGCGCCGCCAAGGATCTGGAGGGCATTGACGAAGCGGCGGTGCAGCTCCGGCGACCAGCACCGACGCGCCTTGCGGTGCGTCTGCGGCGGCGGCGCCGCGGCCGCCTGCTGCCCTTCCGGCGCGTTCGGCGCCGGCTTGACGCCGTTCTGGATGACGTCTCTCCGGGCGCCCAGGACGCCGTTGTTGCTGCCGGCGTCGAGGTACGGCTTCCTGTCAGCATCGGCCGCCGCGTCTTTGTCCGCGGGCGCGAGGGCGAGCTCCGGCAGCGCCGCGCCTTCCGCCGCGGACGCGGTCTTGTCCTTGGCGAACGGGAGGAACGCGCCGCCTCTGTTGCGCTGCCCGGCCGCGGCGTCGTGCGCGCAGAGCGTGTCGATCGGGAGCGGGTGCGCCGACCTCTCCTTGGGCGTCTGCGGCCCCTTGGCCGCCACGTCGGCCGCGGCGGCGGGCCCGTTCCAGAGCTGCGCGGACTCCATCCAGCTAGCCTTCTCCGACGGCGGGTTCCCCATCTTGTCGGTGGCGGCGTCGATCCCGATGTTCTTGAGCGGCATGAACTCCTCGAGCACCAGCGGCCTCGCCGGCGCGCCCTGTAGGCTCCCCATCTGGTACGCCTCCAGCTGCTGCCTGTACGACTCCATGGCTGCATGCATATGCGCCCACCCATTAATAACACATTGCCATGCACGACACGGCCATGCATCGATCGATGCATGCGCACACGACGACGACGACGACGTTACGCACCGTGGTTGAGGAGCTGCATGCAGAGGGGGAGCTCGCGCTTGAAGGCGTCGATCTTGAGCCGCTCCCCCTCCAGGCGGGCAAGGAACTCCCGGAGCTTCTGCGTCGCCTGCTCCGTCGTCGTCAGATGATGGTGGTGGTGGTGGCCGTCCACCACGAGCGGCTCCTGCTGCTGCGGCTTCGGGATCGTCACTGCGTAGGCGGCGCCGTTGCCGTTGGGCTTGTAGTCTAGGGTTAGGTCGGACGGCGAAGAAGCCATGGTGCAGCCAAGCTCCGAGGTTGTACTAGGATCACTCACTAGTGCAGCTATATTTGTCTTGGAGCTTACACTATTGGCTGTAGCTGCTACAAGCAATCTTCTAGTATATTACTACTTCTCAGATAGTATGATCAAGTCTACTACTGTGTGTTAGAGAGAGAGGGCCGTAGGGAATGTGGATGTGAGAGTGTGTGTGTTTGATGAGGGATCAGAGGGGGAATCGGCTTGTTTTTAAGGGTGAGTCTGGGATGGGAGGGAGAATAAAGGTGGATTTAGAGGTGGACGAAAGGAAAAGCCATGTGTGATCTTGCAAGCTAGGAGTAGCCGCAGCAGGATCAGCACAGGGGGAGGAGAGGACTGGAGGAGGGAAAAAGCAAAGGCATGGTAACTTCTTGCAAAGATCAAAGGCATCTGCATGCAAAAGCTTCTGCATATGCAGGAGGTTTCATGCATCCTGTACATACAAGGGAATCAAAAAACTTATCCCCCCCGTCCGTTGTCCTCGAAGCACAACACAACGACCACACAGATGGGGATGCATGGGACCATGTGGTTTTATTTCTCTCTCTCTCTCTCTCTCTCTCTCTCTCTCTCTCTCTCTCTCATCTCTAGCTAGTCTGTCTAGTCTAGTTCAGTCTTCCCTGATGATCACCTGCATGTGTGTCAGTGTGTGTACTTCTTGTAGGTAACTCCATTCAAATCAAACTCAGCACTCTGCCATTCAAGGTTCTACATGCTGATGCATTCATCTGAGCACGCATGCATGAAAAATTGGAACTTTTACATGGCCACATCTTCTTGTTCCACATGTATGCATCCTTATTCCTAGGCTGGCAAATCTTTTACATGGATGCTCATTTTGTGGTAAGTTAACTTTGCAAAGGTTTTTACAACCAGAATCTACCCGTGCTTGCATTGTGTCCACAAATCGGAGAAAGCTTAGCAAGCTGTGTGCGTTTGATTCAAAGGAATTAAAGATGAGCCCAAAGTAGTCCAAAGAGAACCTTGCAAGTCTAAGGGAGAACCAACTAGGTGTCTTGGAGAATATTTACCTTTTACCTAATTTTGATCTCAAAACACTGGGATAATCACCAGATATACCTAACAGAGAATCACATCACCTCCTCCTCCATCTCCCAACTTGCATTACAAAAACCAGAAGAAAAGCCTCCAAAGATATGAAAGGATTCCTCCATCTTTGCTTTGAAAAGGGCGGTGCATCCCTTCACACACAAGCTCTTCTTGGCTAGCTGTGGGAATAACACACATGTATGCATGCCTGTGTCTCCTTACTTCTATCCCTGTGTGCAAGAAGAAGTACCGGCCCACTTTGCATTCACAAGGAATATATTAGCATGGCTCAAGCAAGGAATATCTTAGGCTTTGGGGGATATCAAGCACGCACAAAGGAGGACACAAAGGAAAACATGCAACATGTTCGTTTGGTCGTATTTGGCTTATAAGCCATGGCTTATCAGCCAACGAATAATATTTTTCTCTCACACTAAACCAGCCAACAGTACTTTCAGTCATGGCTTATAAGCCAAACCAGCCAAAACGAACAGGGCGATGGTGTGTGAGAGAGAGAGAGAGAGAGAGAGAGAGAGAGAGTGAGAATGTGAGAATCTCCCCTACTGCTGCTACTCTTGGCTTTTTAGGAAGTGGTAAGGAAGCTAAGAAGATTCTCTCTCTAAGTCTCTATACACTACTACACACATATAGAGAGAGAAACTACAGAGAAGAGAGAATGCATGTATGGGTGTTGCTATACTGGGGTAGAGACAGAAGGCCAGCTAGGGAGAAAGGTGTGTATGTGTGTATTGGTGCATCGAATTCCCTGTGCAATAATTTGGGTTGGTCGCTTTCTTGGGGCAGTCTTCAGGTACAAGACTCCAATCCCTACCTTTCCTCTGGATTCTCTCCTTTCTCTCCCCACCCTACGCGAACAATCAGTTTGATACTACACGTACGTACGTACGTACTTTGATGCTCTACATGTGCGTGTACGTATATATATCACTAAAGTATGCATGTATACTTAGCTTGGCCCACATATACAATATACGTTGTATATATATGTTTATTTATTTAACTTCAAAACATATATGATATATATTTTATGGTTATTTATTTATTTTCCATAATATCAAGCTTATGTTGATAATTTAGATGTAGATTTGAGAAATATTTTAGTTTATTTTTATAACCATAGATTGGATAATTTAGATGCAAATTAAAGTGATTATTTCATAATGATAAAGGTGGGCAATTTAAAAGTATATTTAGAGGTTATTTTACATTTTTAAATAATGACAGGGATAGATAATTTACATACAAATCTAGGGGTTTACTTTTAATTATCTTTCATAATTGTAGCATTGAATATTTTAAATGCAGCATTAGCAAGTTACGTACTTTATGTGTTCTTTTAAATAGCAAAGGTGAGTAAGTTTTTATAATCTAAAATCGATCCAAATGATTATTATCGGTGATGATGACTAGAGTCTACTACCTCCGTTCTGTAACTAAATTTGCCGTAATAAGACAAAAGAAGAAGTATATTTTTCGCTGTATAACTATTGTTTGAGTTCTTTTTTGGCTTTATAACTCTAAAACCACTAAACCAGCAATACTAGACAAATTTTGGCCGGCTTGTGGGTTTCAAAGGTGGTTTAATATCTTCTAGTTCATTTTTTTTAAATCCATAAGTAATTAGTTTAAATCATAAAAAACATGAAAGCAACATAAAAATATTCCTAGAAATATAATCTCTCTATTGGTGTTCTACTTGAAGATATTGATACTTATTTAATACTATTTCTAGTGTTTTATTGCTCATAGTCATGTTTGTTATTTATTTAAATCATCATTCATTCTGCACTAATTTATACCCTAGCTGAGTACTCCCTCCGTCCCACGGTAACCACTCGTATAGGTTCAAACGCAGCAACTTAGGGCCTCTTTAGTTGGTAAATTTTTTTGTTTTGGGTACTGTAGCATTTTCGTTTGTATTTGGCAATTAGTGTCTAATTATGGACTAATTAGGTTCGAAAGTTTCGTCTCGCGATTTCTCACCCAACTGTGTAATTAGTTTTTTTTCGTCTACATTTAGTACTCCATGCATGTGCCGCAAGATTCGATGTGATGGATACTGCGCAAAAAATTTTAGGTTTTGGGTGAAACTAAATGGGCCCTTAGTGGAGGTGGCAAATTACCATGCTACCCCTATACTGCCATCCTGTATATGTCAACCCGTCAGAGTAACAGCTGAACGAGTGGACAGATGGGGCCAGAGGCCTCCTCTGTGAGGCACAGATGAACGAGTGGACGAGAGAGCCCCGTTGGGTTTTCTTTTTTTTTTTTAATAAATGTCGTCGGGGTATTAAAACCGGCTAATAAGTCGTTTGAAGCTATTTTAGTGTGAAAAAAAAGTACTATAAATTTTAGCTGATAAGCCAGCTAATAAATTCAAACGAACAGACCCGTAGTGCTGCACTGCTCTGTTCCTGGTTCCGGCCAGCCGATCCAGTGTTGTACGCCACATTCGGACCTATAGCTGATTATTGTGGGGAAAATTTTGAACCACAAAAGGTGCATTTAGGGGGTATTTGATGCGATAACTAAAATTTAGGATGTGTCATGTGAGGATGTTGTATAGGGTGTTCGGATACTAATAAAAAAACAAATTATAGAATCCGTCGGTACTCCACAAGACGAATTTATTAAGCCTAATCAACCCGTCATTAGCACATATTTACTGTAGCACAACATCGTCAAATCATGAACTAATTAGGCTTAAAGGATTCTTCTCGCAAATTAGTCGTAAACTATGCAATTAGTTTCATAATTAATCTAGATTTAATACTCCATGCATATGTCAAACATCCAAGAAGACAACGACTAAAGTTTAGGAGAAGACGGTAACTGACCAACATTAGAGTTGTCCCCGTATGTTTGGTTTGGCTGATGATATTCGTGATTAGGGATGAAAACGGATCGGATACGAACGGATATCACTGATATTACATTTGTTTTCATATTTCTGTCCGAATTCGGATTCGAATACGGATAGTGTCAACCATATCGGATAGGATACGATTGGATATCGACATCATAAATATACGATTTGAGTATTCGGATACGGATACGGTATCGGATGTTGAATATCCAGACTTGGATACGAACAGATCTGAACCCCTTTAAACGGATTCGGTCTCGAATACGGTCGGAAAATATCCGTAACGTTTTCATCCCTGTTCGTGATATAGGAGGTGGACTGGGCAGAGGCGCAGGGGGGCTTTACGTATTTTTCTCCTCGTGACACGCGTCAGTGGTGGCCTGCCCAAATCGTCCTGTGAATATCCTTTTTGTCTACTGCCACGTGGCACACGAATATTCCTTCCCCCCTCCCTCTATCTCTGCTTTGTTGCCATCCATTCAGTTTCGATGTTCGAGCCAAAGCCAACACATACCACTGTACAAACAAGCGACCGCCATTTTCATCCTCCCTCTTCATCTTCAGAGGAATGTACACTGTGTTCACTGCATTCCTCTACTGAAACCCATGAACAACTGAAGGACAATGCAAAGGTTTGGCTTCAGCAATGAAAAAAAACAAGAGAAAATCCACAAGGAAAAAACAGTGCAATGTGTGGGCCTGTCCACTTATTCGATGTCATGGCTGCCGAGAGATAGAGAATAATCAGGGTGTCATGGGCTAATAGCTCGCCATGATGTGCACTCAGCGTGGTGGGGTGTGGGGGGATGATTCTCTGAAGCCAATGCGAGAGCAGAAGAAAAAAAAAACAGCAGGGATTAGGACGCAGAGAGAGAGAGAGAGAGAGAGAGAGAGAGGCGTAAAAAAGAACGGCCAGAGCTCATCAGGAATCTAATGGGATGCTAATTGTCTCCCCCTGCGTTAAGGTTCCTGGAGTGAAGGACCATCCTTGCATCCAGCCTTTCGTCTAGTGGACGGATCCGGAGGAAGGACGGGAATTCAC